AAAATGTAGGAAGTGAAACTGAGCACGTTAATCGGTAGCGACAGTTTGACGTCCATACATAAAATATAAACATATAAAAATATGGCCTAGTTTGAATGTATAAGTGTAGCATGGAGACTTCTTCTGAATATCGTCAGTGTGGGGGGTTAAACAACACTAGTGGGGAGGACGTTCCGAGTGGCACACAAGAAGTGAAAGGCAATTTCAGCGGCATTCCAGCCGACGATACTGTGTGGCCAGCTTCAGCTGGTTACCTCTCAACTTGCTATTGTTATTCAGGTTCAGAATATGACAATGAGCGTGGTTTGGATCAAATGTGTCGTTATTAAATTCCCACGCATGCATTATTCACTGTAGACTCCAAGGGTAGTCAGCCTCGGTTGGTAAGTTAGATTAAACAGACCCTTTTACGCTCTTGGTCGCCATTCTATGTGACATCTCAAATGCGATAAATTCGTGCCTATGCTAGGGTTTTCATGCCTGGATGACGTCTTCCGAATTGGGCCTAACGCAGGTGCTGAGCAGCTGAGGGAAGTTAGAGGGGTCAAAACACCCGAATCTCCTCCATAAATGGACAGGAAGTTTGTTGGTTGTTTTTGATACCTTTGATACCTGAGGTGATTAACCAAGGTCCTCTTGTACCGTCACACCTAGGTTGTATTCAGTAGAATCGCGCTGCAAACTTGATCATTCAACCTGTACACGCAGTTTGATTGATGTGATGTACTCAGTATCACACCTTTGTCGGCGATGAAATGAAGCAGCTTCTGAGTCGCCTACTCGTGTAGTCTATCATGACCAGCCTGCAGCGCTACGTGGTCACCTGTTGTTTTGATGGTGCGCCATATCTTGAGGTTATCAGCGTGGAGTGAGAAATTCGAGGTGGTCAATCTCGCGAGACCATTTAAATAAATCAAGAATAGGCGTAAACCAACTCCAAAGTCCTGTGACAGTGATGGAGCCGTGAACTTTCACACTCAGATGCGGTTGTAGTAGTAAGTTGCCCATCCAACTTAGGACCGGGTCATCAATGCCACGGCTCTGAAAGTTGTCAAGGAGGATGTGGTGGTTCATACGGTCGAACGCCTCGGAGAAGTCCAGATAAATGGCATCATTGCCCACACCAATGTCGACGGTCTCAGTCCAACTAGCGCAAGACAGTAGGAGGGTTGCGCTTTTCAAGACCGGTTCCGGCGGGATTCATACTCTTCTGATGCTCTGAGTTTGTATCATTCCAAGTGATTCATGAGCGCTTCGGCTCTAATGGCCTCCATGCTTTTTGGGAGCACCGGAAGGAGTGTTATTGGCTGACAGCCGGCCGGCTTTCCCCCTTGTGAAGGGGAGTGACGATTTCCTGTCTCGCATCTCAGGGAGACATCGTTGGAAGAACTGAGAGGTCTGATTCGCCAAATTCATTGGAGTCAACTTCAGTCACTTTAGACGGAAATTATCAGTAACAGAAGAGATAAGCCTGAGCAATGAAATTGGACCCTTTGGTAAATATCCGGCCGTAAACAAGATATGGCCAGGTCCGGCCGATGGCACAACATCCTTGAACAGCATAGGCAACATATTCGTGCTCTGTGATTGGGGAGAATTGCTGGGAGGCGTTGGCAACTTCTGTTGCAGTGTGTGCTGGTCCGCTTGGCCTGCGGAGGGTAGGAGTCCCCCGCTGCTCTTTACAGAGTTTGTTAACATGTTTGTAAAGGAGTTTGAGGTTTGAACATCATTTATCAGCTAGATACTGTTTATGCTTTGATCTGCCACCATTTAGCAGGTTCCCGCACTGATGCTGTTAGATAGCGTAAGTCTGCCATTTGTCGGCACCCGGTGACTACTTGTTTTTTGCCAGAGTAAATCTCCATCTGAATAGCTATATTCTCATCGAATGTGGGAACCAGCCCTACAAAGTATGCGTTACTAATTTGTTGAATTGATTAACAAAATCCCACAATGAGACATCGGGGATAGTTCAGCTGGAAATTACTAGTTGGTAGCATTAATGTTGGTCAGAACGCCGTAATCTGCAATGAGCTGAGAGGTGCCGGTGTTTTCTACAGAATACTCGGCATGACAAATTTATTTGAACAGCCGATTTGTATGGTTACTGCGGCTCAAAGGACTATCTATCGATAAGGTTTGAACCCTAATCTCCTGGTTGGAGAACACGAGATCCAGCATCTCTGTTTTGCTCTCCGGCTTTAAGCCTCTGATGGAAGTTAACTGATTGTACAGTAGAGTCAACTAGTAGCACCTGTAATCCCATTTGGAAGTGTTTATTTAGACAGGCTGGAGTGTCTAGAGTAAGAATATTGGAGTCACCAAACCGGAGAATTTGACTGTGTGAATTCGGTCTTATGAGTGGGCAGGTTAGATGATTGGCGAATTTTTAAGTAGCAAACGGAGGGCGGTACACGACACCCATCAACATGGATCACCACGTCTTAAGCGAAGACGGTACCAAAGGCTGTCTACAATCTGGACCCTCTGGTCATTGATGCGAACGAGATGTAGGGCAGTGCGATAGTGGAATACTGATTAGTGCAGGGAAACAACAAGAAGAGATATCCCTGTGTATCCGCACCGTACAATCCCTCAGGTAAATTGAGGGATTATATCAGTAAGCCTTCCCGATATTTCATATAGACAAAGTGGTAGTTCGGGAATTTCTTGAGCTCCGACACCCACTTTACTTCGACAACGTGCTGTGACAGGTTCTTCAATATATCCACTATCCTCCATTCGAAACAGAGTTGGTGGGCTAGCCCCATTCAAATCCGGTACTACGAGCTTTTACCGGTGTCCGTGTGTGCTGCTTGGTGTGCGCTTTTTAAGCAGCGAACTCAGCATGGAGTAATCACCAAGATGTGTTGCGTCATGATGTGGTCAGCCCGCACTTGACTGTAAGACAGGATGTAAACTTCTAGCTTCTTGCACCGGTCTCCGTAGGTCACTCTCGCCAAAGTGGGGATGATCCTAGTGGCCACATGCTGAAGCCTTTCAAATCTTCGCATCCCTCCCTGGTGATAGAATAGTATGCGGTTAAGCCATACTGTAGCATTGGTCGTATGATCCAAACGAAGAGGCGCGTTGCCATCTCCCCGGACCACCTATACTCGGTCAATCGATGCGTAGTATAGACATCTCAGATAGTAAGATTTCGGCGTCAGTGATCATTTCACTCAACCAAGCGTTGATTATCGTGATGAAGTCTTGACAGTTCCAGGTGTGACGCAACCGCAGCTCTAACAGTTTGCCAAAAAGGCCTTGTGCGTTGGCATAAAAACAAGAGCTCTTTATTCATTAAAACATGATGGAAAGGTTAGGCAGCAAGTGTGAGGATTGGTGGACCAAGGTGAGTTTGGCTGCTATTATTATTATTTTTGGAGGAGTCAGCGGCTATCGAGATCGAGTTGGAATGCATGGTTGCACCGGAAAATCTAGTTCATAATGACCGTGGTAGTCACATGCACCCTGGGGTGTTCCCCCGGTTGTTGCAACGACCTTTAGATCAGTCGTTACGCTGGACATCCCAACAGGCGCTTTTGCTGAGTTCCCCCTCCATTGTGTAATCTGTAGTCTGTGTCCGTGTGTCTACAGCCTTCAGTCGAATTTCTCTCCGCAGCGCCTTACGGAACTTAGCGCAATTCTCTAGTAAGATGTGGGCCCTTAGTTCAACCTGCCGCAACAATTTCAGCCTTAGGATGACATTCCTCTACATTAGGTGACGCGCGTATCCTCGTCAAGAAAGAAACAATGAAATTTTCTGGAGCCAGTGCCTCACAGACATAGCATTATTGCTCCCGGTCATAAGCTCGAGATTCGTCGGTAAAGGAAATTTGAATATCGAGAACAGTGCGAAAAACGTCTGTTTTCATAGCCATAACCGTTCTCCAGCTATATACTTGACTATTGGTTTGATCAAATAAGCATGAGATGCAAAACGAATGACGGATGTCCCACTCCTATGACCCTGGTAGCCGTGAGGTGACAAATAATTGTTTTTGAACACACAGACTCGGCTTCGTCCGGCTTAGGGCTACAGACTTGGAGTAATGGCTGAAGCGGGGATTACGGTGACGTAACACAAGTGTGAACCTTAGTCTAAACTCTATCCGATGAAGTGTGGCCACTAGGTGTTTACTTACCGAGAAAGCTGGCAGTCTGCGCGAGCACTGAACTTCTGGCGGACAGGGATCCTGGCCAGTTTCACACTGAACTCACTTTGTAATTCTCATCCTAACAATCCTACGGAGCTTGTCAGGTAGTTAGTTACTTTTATACCCGTTATAAACCATTGTTCTATTACAACTGTTTCGCCGCTGCTGTTATCGCTGTGCTATTTAATATTCAAAACATATTCATCTGGTAGAGGTGTCAAACTTGACAACTTAAATCCTCTTGTCTGGAATTTTTGATGACATATGTAGCGTATGTACGCCATGCTGTCTGATTCTATGTCTCACCGAATCCTCAAATTCCCTGTTACATGTCTTTGCAGTACCGAATATTATAGATTACATTCGGAGGGGAAGTTAATCGTGCATAAAACCAAACCGTACAGAAGTACAACAGAACAGCGTTATCGGACAACCAACGCTTGTCAACTTGCAGTTGCTTTCTTTTAATGAGGCAATGTGTCCATAAGCCAACAGGTGACACTATGACCAACCGATAGCCGCATCTGAATTCGCTGAAAGAGATCAGTCTCCTGATAAAATAATTGTCTACTTTAGCCAATGAACGCACATCCTTTTTGACGAGAAGGTGAAATATCTTCTTGCTCTTTCCCGGACCGCTATTTTTGCTTAACTTCACTTGAGTTTAAGCAAGTTGGTCATCGTTGACATAATTTCTTCAAGGCAGCAGCTCGGGTATTACCTCAGCAGTGGAAGCTAAACTGCCAGTATCTGGACGCACACCAACCATATGTCTCCGTCTAGCGTTAAAATTCTTAATCAAACTGTGCTTTTTGTTCTCCGCGACAATTTCTTTTGCAGAAAACTATTTTGTTGGATTTGGGAACAGTTTTCACGGTAGCGGTGGTCGCGGAAATGGACGGTCTCAAGTTCGTTATATGTTGCGATTGATCAGAAACTTTATGGATTTGGACGACGAACGACTTATTCAGGTGCGTTACCTCCTGTCCGCAACGATTCATGGGTTATGTAATTATTCGAATGCAGCAAATCCTTGTATTATCCTGCCAACAAGCAGTAAACGGTTCATGTTTACTTTGTGACTTAATATTGCTCGTTAATAAGTGCCTCCCAACTACTAGCCGGTTCTTTAGACCGATTCAAGGTAACCTGGTTTATGGGAGTAAAATTGGTCCTTAATATTATCTTGCGTATGTCTTCTGCTGGACTTACATCTACTCCGTTTCAGCGGCCACTTGCACAGTTGCGGTTGCAATAAATATTTTCGCTGAGCACTTTATCCTTCTATGTAGCCAGCTTCTCTGTCCGATGCACAGTTCCATTAGCTCATGGATCCACGTTCATCATATGCGTCCACCGGCACATTCAAGTTTTCCAGCCCATTCAATTATTCGTCCCACACCCGGTTCCATTTTTATATGGATGACGGAGTATATTGGAGCGCGGTGAAAGGGACCGTCGATTCAGTCTTACGTCCCAAGAGTGACGACCTTGCACTAGACGTCACCGTGTCCCCGAGTCACTTTTCGGCCTTGCTAACCTTAGGCGCCAGCGCAGTTTACGTTGCAAGCACCCAAGTGGTATGAGATTTCAAATGCTGCACCTCAACAACTGCATTCCTATTTTCTATCATAATGCATCAATCATCTGGAGACATATTGAACGACTGTCAGAGCACTGTTTCTGATATAAATTATGATATCCGAAGCAGATACATGCAAAAGCAGATGTACTGCTTCATGGAGGTAAACCACACATTGTTACACCCATTAAATTTCATTTGAGAAATAGTACTCAAATTTTGATCAATTATGGTAACAATTCGTTAATCAGCAAAGCTTTTCACAATATAATAGAACCAATTGATCTCTGTTGTCTCGCCTATTGGAATGTGTGTGTGCGCGCGCATGTTACACCTAACATTCATTTCCAGTGGGTGTAAAAAGGATTTTCTTGACCGGACTTGTTGGCCTCACTCTCTACTTGAATACCTACAGCCTAATTTGACGACCTAGTATCACCTCGAAAAAAGAGCTTTACAATTTCAGTACCAGTACATCTTAGCACCTTAACTTCAATAACCTAGTCAGGAAATACTAACACCCAGGGCTACGTTGGCTATTCCACTTGATGGAACTCCGTATGGCTCATATATATATATATATATATATATATATTGCTCGCAAAACCGGTTTCGGTTTTGCTTGTCACTGTGGCGAGCCACAGGACGCCTGCGCCTACAGAGGGACCATGGGTGGCTTGCGCTGCACCACACACAGCTCCATCCACACACCTCATATACAGTGTAAACCCGAAGGAAAAAGACCGGGAGGCATGTGGATGGGAGCCACATTTCATCAACGGAGCCGGCCCACACTCCTACACAGTCAAACACAAGCTCGCTGTATTTCGAGAATCAAGTACACACAAAGTCGGTGGCTGGACCGTAGTCCGCTCCACACTGAGTGCATGGAACCACTCTTCGAGCCTAGCACGACCACAAGGACCGGGCACCCCATCTCCTCCAGCAACGACCAACTGTCCCCTGGAGCCAGTATGGACGAGGTGGTGAGTAATAGACAGGTATGCACCTTGTCAACATGCACCTCAAGCGTAGCCACACCTGGGATGTCAAACAACAGCCAATCATTCGAAATGCCGATATCGAATAAAGTAAACGCATATGACGACATAAATGCTCGCTAACTGAGCATATGGAAGAAATTGGTTAAATGTGAATACGCGATAAGTACAAAATGTCCGAAAGTTAGTTGAAAAATACCACGCGATAAAATTACGCAAGTTTATCACAATTTGCATGAGTGATGTGTGTAAGTTGCGAGAAGATTAGCAAGTACGCAGAACAAAAAAAATGTAATGAAGTTTATCCAGCTTAAAAAGGCCTAGTTTAAGTGTAAGTTGGTTTAGCCCAACTGCGGTAAAGAAGCATCAAGAATGCAACATCAGCCTCAGCATGGGGCACACATATATACATGGTTGGCGGCATCCGATATCGGATTTGCCTGTCACTGTGGCCAGCCACAAGACGCCTGCGCCTACAGAGGGACCATTGATGGCTTGCGCTGCACCGCACACACACACCATATCCACATATCCAGGAGGCATGTGGATGGGAGCCACGTTTCATCAACGGAGCCGGCCCACATTCCTTCACAAGCAAACACTAGCACGCTGTATTTGGGAATCCATCGCACACAAGGCGGTGGCTGGACCGTAGTCCGCTCCACACTGAGTGTATGGAACCGTTCTTCGAGCCTAGCACGGCCACAAGGACCGTGCACCCCATCCTCTCTAGCAACGACAAACTGTCTCCTGGAGCCAGTATGGACGAGGTAGTGGGTAATAGACAGGTAGGCACCTTGTCAATATGCACATCACGCGCAGCTACACCGGGGATGTCAAACAACAGCCAATCACTTGAAACGACAAAATCCAATAAAAGAAATCAAATAATGCATACAGATACGGTGACAACTCTTCACTTACTGGGCGTATAAAAGAGTTAATTACGTACGGATCCGCGATAAATTCAAGAGGTCAGAAAACATATTTAAAGAAAATGTCACAAACGCGAAAAAGTTATCAAAATTAATAACAATTTGCTACAGTAACGTGGGCAAGTTTGTAGAAGGTAGTACAGGTAGACAATAATATGAGAAAGAAAATCATTTGCACAAAATTGCAAACCCACCACCTGAAATAAAGGGATTCAGCATGCAAGCTCACGGTTAGTAAATCGAATGCAGCGCACCTACGAACGCTGCGCCGGCTCTGTCTACGTTCTCTGCAGTACCCGTCGCCGCCTCGGTGGACCCGAGTGGCCTCGCTCGTGGCTCACTAGGCCTGAGTGACTCAGGCAATCTCGACCGCATGCGCTCGATGTCGATGGAGTACAACCCATCGGTGCTTGCCGCTTCCGCACTTGCCGCTTCTTCTCTGCATGCATGAGGTCTTTCTCCCGCACTTTGGCAACTGCCTTCGTGATCAGATCGCGCCATACACGCCGATCAACCACCTTCGATTCTCATGACCTGCAATCAAGATTGGAACGTGAGAGGCTCACTTTGATCATGTCCTGGTAACGTAACTTTGGTTTCCCCACATGCCGCTTCCCAATACTCAGCTGACCATATAATAGTTGTTTCGGTATCTGTTGTACAGTGTTCGTTGGCTGCGATTAATACGTTCTTTTGTCAGGGTCATTGGCGTTTTGCTTTTTTCCTCCGGTTGGGCTAGAAGTTTTGCGGAGCAGTGAATTGTTGTTTTTTGGAGTTGCGTCTAGTGAGAAGATTATAACAAATGGCGACGGAGAAAAGTGGAAATGTAATGAATTTTTCTGCTGAACAATTTCAAAAGCTGCTTTTTTAACAGCAAGCTCAAATGGAGGCGCAAATGAAAATGATTGAAAATCTGACAAAATGTTTGAGTTTGCAGACAACTGGAGCAGCGACGCGGGACATGCAGGCGAGTTCTGTTGATCTTCTCACGAACGCCATCACTGAATTCCATTATGATGCGGATTCTGGAAGCACTTTCGAAGCGTGGTTCAAACGCTGGGAAGACATGTTCCAGACGGACTTCAGTCGTCAGGACGACTGCTGGAAGGTGCGATTGCTACTCCGATGGAGTACAACCCATCGGTGCTTGCCGCTTCCGCACTTGCCGCTTCTTCTCTGCATGCATGAGGTCTTTCTTCCGCCCTTCGGCAACTGCCTTCGTGATCAGATCGCGCCATACACGCCGATCAACCACCTTCGATTCTCATGACCTGCAATCAAGATGGGAACGTGAGAGGCTCACTTTGATCATGTCCTGGTAACGTAACTTTGGTTTCCCCACATGCCGCTTCCCAATACTCAGCTGACCATATAATAGTTGTTTCGGTATCTGTTGTACAGTGTTCGTTGGCTGCGATTAATACGTTCTTTTGTCAGGGTCATTGGCGTTTTGCTTTTTTCCTCCGGTTGGGCTAGAAGTTTTGCGGAGCAGTGAATTGTTATTTTTTGGAGTTGCGTCTAGTCAGAAGATTATAACAAATGGCGACGGAGAAAAGTGGAAATGTAATGAATTTTTCTGCTGAACAATTTCAAAAGCTGCTTTTTCAACAGCAAGCTCAAATGGAGGCGCAAATGAAAATGATTGAAAATCTGACAAAATGCTTGAGTTTGCAGACAGCTGGAGCAGCGACGCGGGACACGCAGGCGAGTTCTGTTGATCTTCTCACGAACGCCATCACTGAATTCCATTATGATGCGGATTCTGGAAGCACTTTCGAAGCGTGGTTCAAACGCTGGGAAGACATGTTCCAGACGGACTTCAGTCGTCAGGACGACTGCTGGAAGGTGCGATTGCTACTCCACAAGCTCGGGATAAGTGAACATTCAAGGTTCATAGACCACATTTTGCCCAAACAGCCGAAGGATCTGACATTTGACGAAGCAGTGTCGCAGTTGAAGTAAACTTTTGGTGAGTCGGTGTCCTTGTTTGGTATTCGCTATCAATGGCTGAAAATAGTCAAACAGGAATCTGACGATTTTGGGGCCTTAGCAGACATGATTAACCGTGAGTGTGAACGATTCAAACTACGCACTTTAACGGACGATCAGTTTAAGTGTCTCATTTTCGTCAGTGCTCTACAATCGCCCAGTGACGCTGGGATCCGAACGCGGCTTTTAGCTAAGCTAGAGCAGGACCCGGATCTGACACTGAAGGCCCTCGTTAGCGAATGCAAACGACTGCTCACTCTAAAGCACGACACTGCCATGGTCTAACATCACCAGATACCGTGCAACTTGTGAAAAAAACCAGGACCGCCAACGCAAGCAGACCCTTCAAGAGGCCTACGAAGAAACCGCCCACAGCATGCTGGTCATGCGGCGAATGGCATTTCGCTCGCTTTTGTCCCTTCAAACAACATGTTTGTCAAACGTGTCATAAGCGCGGGCATAAAGAGGAATTCTACAATCAAGTCCGGTCGAAGAAAATGAAGCCTTATCGAAAAGGTAATTCTAGAAGAGGCGGCGCTGAGTCTCTCTCCATAGTTGCCGCATTCCAAAGCGAATGTAAGCCGAGACGACGATTCGTGACTGTGTTAATCAATGGGATCTCAACAAAACTGCAATTTGACACGGCCTCAGACATCACAATCATTTCCAGACGCACATGGAATCACATAAAAAGGCCGAAAATGGTCGAGTCTCAGAAAGTTGCGCATAATGCATCCGGCGGTGTGTTACACTTAGTGGGCGAACTCAATTGTAAGATCGCTTTCCAAGGTGTGGAGAAGTCGGGAACATGCTACATTTCGGATCGGCCGAATTTGAATCTTCCTGGCCTCGACTGGATTGAAAAGTTAAACCTCCTCGATGTTCCCTTGAATCAGATCTGCAACCGAGTTCGAGCAAGTCCAGACCCATCTGCAAAGTCCGTCGAAGACATGACACGTACCCTGAAGCGAAAATTTGCTTCTGTCTTTCATGATGGCTTGGGCCACTGTACGAAATTTAAGGCAACACTGAACTTGCGACCAGGTGCTAAACCAGTGTTCAAGGCTAAAAGACCGGTACCATATGCAGCCATGTCAACCGTTGAGCAAGAGCTATATCGACTGAAAC